AAACGAGAGCTACAAATTTTTTCTTTCCACAACAAATTTACAACAAAAACACTACAATTAATGCCGTAGTTAACTTTTCCAAATTCGAAAAGTGTAGTGCTAACTTGACACACGTTTACATATGCTTGGTGAGATCCAGTTTGGAATAGAAAGAGTTCAGAGGCGATTTACTAAATTTGCCCTTCGACTCATGTTTTCTTATGAATCTATGCCATCTTACGAACTGAGATGCAGAATTCTGAAATTAAAATACCTTGCTAATAGGAGATAAATGTGTGGTATTTTTTTCATCAAAGATATATACGATAACAAAATTGATTCCCCAGAACTACTTTTGCTTCTGCCCTTTTATGCGCCGTAAAACGAAATTTGCTAACAATGAGTCCATTCACAGGTCCATTTGGCTATGCAACTCTATTTGTAATTATGTCGATATTTATTTATGTAGAGAACGTTTTAAAATTGATATTAATGATTATTTGATTTTCAAATAATTTTCTCATATTTTGTTATCCTGTACGTATAAATATTATGACTAATTTTTGTATAAATTTCCTGCTTATCTGCGAGGACTGTAGATAATTAAACAAATAAATAAAATATTTATATGTGCAAACAAGTTGTAGGTTATCGAATATTTTAAGTAAAGGTTTAAAGACAATTTTATTTGTGGGTTTTGGATTTTATTTCTAATGCACAATTTTATTTGTCGTTGTTGTAGCGGCTACAAATTTTTTTTGTAAAATTTTTATTATTTCTTCTATTTGTGAAATTTGGTTGGTAGGTTTGGAACTCTGATTTGGGGTTTTTGTCTTAGAATAGGAAAAATAGCGAAAAATAAAATATTTAAAAAGTAGTTGACGGTATTGTAAAATATTCGCTGTACCTAAACTTTATTGACTGACTGTATGTGTCCATATGGTTTTTTGTATAGGTACCAACTACCTACCGTTTTTCCACAAAATTAAAATTTTAAATTAATTCTCTTTATTATTAAACGTGCGAAAATACGAACTCATGTAAAAGATTTTTCAATTTTCCATAGTATACGTTGACTTTAGTCGAATTTCTCTTCCCTGAAGTATCCGCAAGTTCTTTTTCGATCCGGGTTTGAATACATTATACAAAAAATGAATTATAATTATTGAAAATTCAACTCTTTTGATATTTGTCTAACATTTTTTATATTTTCTCTTCTGTTATCAGCTTCATCGAGTTGTGCTGGTGTGTTGTTATAGCACACAATACCGTCATACTAACCAATAATAGGAAGACAACAGTCATACACATATACAACGTCTATTAAGTAGTTGATTTTGTGAAGCAGACCACAGCGCGACACAGCAGCTGCCATAGCAGACTTACTCATTTGTTTGTAGAATGTTGGAGCTCTGCTGAGTGGAAAACTAAAACACAACAAAAGTTCTCTATCGCAACCATCGTCAGGCAGGTAGAGCTCCAAAGACGTTTAAGCAGAGAGGTTAGCAATCACGTCTCAACGGTAGCAGTAGCAGCAACTGCAAAAGCTTGCGGACCAGAGCGCCTGAACGAGAGCGTTTTCGCGCGACGAGAGTGTTTTGTTGACGTGTGTGTAAGTAAAGAGACTCAAAATTGATAGAAATAACAAGAAGGCTGCTGCAACTGGTGCCTCTTCCGAGGACCAGCCGCCGCGCAAAAAAGGACGACGTTCAGCAGGAGGATCAACAGCAGCAGCCGCAGCGGGAGCTTCAATAACGACGACCGGAATCGCCGCAGCAGCAGCAGGAGCACCTAGCAGCAATTGTCTCAGTACGAGTGTGTCTATTGACGCAGAAACAGCGTCGACTTCACGAGCGGCACAACAGCAGCGATTAAATCAAAATCAAAATACCCGTGAGAAGCAAAATAGAGGTGAATCAAAAAATAGTAATAGCGTAAATACTGAAACAATTGAGAATACACAAGAAAATACAACAAGAAACTCACCAATTAGCAGTGATAGTGTTGTGGACGCCGTCAGTGGCGCTGTCGTTGATCGTAATATTGAAGTATTTGAACAAAGTACTAATTCCAATAGTGGTAACGAAACAACGAAAATGCAAAACTCGGCTTTGAATCCCTCATCATCGAGCGCGTCCTCGTCGGGTTCGGGTACGGGTACGGGTTCCGCGTCCGTATCGGCTTCCGGTGCCGCTCCGGTTGGCAATTCATCATCAGCTAATTCGGCAGCTGATGGTGGTGGTGGTGGTAGTAGTACGCTGGGACCTGCTGGCGGCGATTCGCTGGTCAATGTGTCCAATTCGGCAAATTCATCGACTTCAACGTCAAATGGACACGACACAAAACATAATGGCTTTTCGGACAACAATGAAAGTGGCACCTTAGATGCACAAAACAATCATGATCAATCGATCGTGGCCGTCGCCAATCACAATTTTCACTTGGACAAAACTAATCAAGAGATTATTCGGTTGATTGGTCAATACTTGCAAGACATTGGTTTAGACAAATCGGTAAAAACCTTAATGACCGAATCGGGTTGCTATTTAGAGCATCCAGCTGCCTCGAAGTTTCGGGAGCATGTCTTGTCGGGCGAGTGGGGAAAGGCAGATGCCGATTTGAAGGTGAGTGAACGAAGCGAAGTTGTTATGGGCAAAGTTCTTAGCACGTACATATATATATAGGCATGTGCAAACATTCACATTTGCACAGTAGTGGTGTGTTCCCTTTCTCGTAATTTTTTAGAATATTACGTTACACAAAAACACAAATGCAAATTTCATTGTGACGAAATATTTGATAAAACTTAAAATCAGTACATTGTTATTTTAATATCATGTCATTTATTGTAATAATATTCATAAATACAACAACGATGTCTTCTCTACGTACCTACGTACCAGTTAGTTGCGCTATCATCTAGCACTAGTAGAGACAACGTACAACGCTCTCTAACATACACCCCCCTCTTTCTATTTCCTCCATGCTCAAGTATTAACGTTTGCATGGTCTTTTTAAACAAGTAGTACCTACATATCTATATATACATTTGATACAGGCACATATACTGCAAGCACGCATCAATACGTATGCATGCAGCTAGTAGCTGTAGGTACATTGTTCGCATGCTCTCCTTTTGTGTTGTTGTTGCTTACATTCCACTAAAGCAGCCAAAACGAAACTAAATAAAGCTAAAACCAAATATCATGTCATTGAATTTGTTAAGCATTTCTACCAATGAGAGTAAATCGATGGACAGCTCTTGCTGGAGAGCAATAGACTTCTACTTCAGCCAATTTTCGTTTCGATTTGCTCTGTAAAAGCTTTTGGCGATGCGCGCGCTCGCTACATCATGACTGGCTGACTTTGTGTCTTTATACATACATATGTATATGTATTCTTACAAAAATGGAAAATTAAAGTAAACCAAAACCAAAGCAAACTGTAGCAAAACAAAGCAATCGAATAAAAGATGCACAAAGAACCCACACTCGCATGCCAACAAAAATAAATCGCTTACACATATTCGTCCTCCAATGCAGTATGTATAATGACTGATTCACCCAATCCATCCGATTTTGTCAGTTGTTGAAGAATGAAAGATTTGAATTTTATTTAAGTGATTCCATTCCTTTTCGTTTCTTTTAACAGCACATTTGATTGGGAATCATATGAATTTCGATTTGAGTATTCAGTGGTGCGCTCACTGAAAGCAAATCTATTTCTCCAATGCAATTATACATACATATGTGCTTATGTATGTACTTCAAATGTGCAATCCAGTGTAAACAGTGTCTCGCCTTAGAGCAGCTGACTTCTTGACTTGCTGCATTTAATTTTACGTACATACATATATGTATATTTATATATTTTTTGCATTTCTATTTCGTCTAGAAGTTAGCGCAGCTTGCCTGTTTACGCATGACAAACTTTTGATGATACGTTTGTGTTATTCCAGTGGAGTGGAAGTGTTAGTGGATGAGGGGTGGGTGTTAAATGCGCAGTATAAATGCCTATGTCTATTGAAACAAAGAAACAGCACAAGCGATTGTACTTTTACATACATTCATACTCATTCAAATCAAAAGTACCCATAATAGCAGCTGATTACCATACATATCGGGTCAATGTGCCCATATTTAGCTTTGTTATACTATTAAATTGTTGTAGGAGAAGTGAGAGTAGCTAGTGTGGAAAGCGAGTAAAGACATCGCTGCACACTAAAATAAAAATTGGAGTTTGTGTATGTTGTTTTTGTTGTTGCGCATTTATATTCATGTAGCTATTAAGATATACATATAATGCTTTAACAAGGTATATTCAACAAGGTAGAAACGATAATAACAGTTGACTATATATACAAAAAATTTAAAAAATGTAAAACAAGGCGAATTCATTTACACAGTGAGCGTCAAACATAAGTATACCCGACGTTTCGACGATTTTATTTATTTATAAAAACCACAAGAATCGATTTTTTATTTTTTTCATACAGAAGTCGCGAAAATGCATAAAGTGTAGGTTTCATGTCGCTAAAAATTACTGTTGATTTTTGAGATATTCTTTTGTCGCAGGTGCTGTGCATTTTCTTCAACAAAAAAAAAAAAATTGGTGTAAAATTTTTCAACACTGTATTCGTTTCAGCGGTCCAAAGCCATATAATAAGCATAGTTAGTCCTATCCGATGGGCAGAACGATACGTTTTTTTGTGTAGCTGTAATTAAAAACCAAAACTTGAAAACCATCGATTTCAGGTCAGAAATAGTAGTTGCGTTTTTTTACTCATTTCCAGTAAAATCCAGTAAAAGTTTTTACGAATTTTCATGCTTTGGCGTTTTCGTACGAAAAACAGCTGATCGCATGTTGCTGGATGAAATTTAAACTAATAAGGAAACTGTTTGTGGCTTTTTATTGTTGAATTTCACAAAATAAACCTATTTAAATACAAAATATATTGTTTTATAAGGAATTTGCTGCGAATAAACAACCAATTTATGAGCTGTTCATGAAACTTGCAAATTATTACTGGAAAAGCGTTCGCGTACTTTTTTGCAAATTTTTTTCTATGAGAGCGAATTCTTAGAAATAAAGTTACTGGAGAGTTACTGGCAAGTTAGTGGATAATTTGTAAAAAAACACAACTAATGTGAAATATTGCCGAATGATCCATCATACGTCTACAAATCTGGCCAGCAGTGACATTCTGGCATGGCTAAAACATTACATTGTAATAATTTTATCATGATATGTATGTAGCGTTAAACTTTTTGTGCTTGAATCAAAATGGTATTTTTATTATTATTAAAATACTAATCTCCGAATATTTCAAAGATAGAGAGAAACTTTAATTGGGACATCAAAATTATTGTTAGTTTTTACTCCTTATGTATATTCGGATTTGCATTACTGAAAACCACTTTTTCAAATCTTTTTTTTTTTGTTTTCATTTTTGCTACTATGGTAAAGTTTACTACTGCTACTGACATTAGGAGTGTTCGCTATGCAACTGCCAGTAAGAATTAGCCAGTAACAAAATTCAGAGAATAAGGTACCTTACTCTCCCAAAGAGAGAAACTTACTAAGTTTTGCGCGAACAGGAATTAGCAAACATTTGCAAGCTTCACTGCCAGCTGGCTTCCACGGTTGCATTTCGAGCATAATTTTTTTAAATTATTGCAGGTAGAAACCAAAACAGGACCTATACGTATATTTCTTCCTGTTCTGACTCTTCAACATACGCTTCAATTTCTTTGTGGAAGGCACTGTCGGATTTCCTATATCGACAAGGGTGTCGAGTGCGTTCCGATTACGAATACAGCTTTTTCAGCCGAGTACCTTCCAAATGTTTGGAATTAATTAAATTAATTGAATAAACGAATATTTTCCCACTTCTTTCATTAGTAAATCGCAACAAGATTGTTCATTTTTAAATTTAACGAACTCGTTGATTCAAATTAATGTTGACAAAAATGCAACCGTGTGCCACAATATTGCTTTCAAATTCTTACTGGCAAAAATTTTCCCAGCACGAATTTGCAACTTTCCCTCCAAATGAAATGTCAAAATTGTGCTCTCTCCTTGCAAGTTTTACTGGGTTTTTGGCTAAACGAACACGATTTGGTTACAATTGGTACCAACTTGTACAAATTTTTTGCATAGCGAACACTCCTATTGTTATCGACAAGAAACCACTAAGCAGATGTTGTGATGCGGCTATAAAAACTTCAGATGATTTGTTGTAGTCAAGTTCAGACCAGTGCATGACATACATTTAAAGTTCGAATAAGAGTTGATTCAGTCAGCAAGCATTGCGTGCACTAGGGCTGATGATACCCGGATACTATATATATGTATGTCGGTAACCCGGGTAATGCGAATTAAGGCTTTTTTAACCTTTTTCTAATATTTTAAAAACAATATTAATTATTTCCAGACACTTCTCGCCGGCAGTAACTTCTGCTAAGTGCTCCAAGGTTGCAAAAAGTTCGAAACTTACTTACATAAGCACAACTGTGCATATACACTTGAAGGGTGTTCGGGGGATGCTTGACCCACCGGATGGGTCTGGCTGATTACAGAAAGTTTGCAAGTTTTTATAATAATAAAACCAAAAGACGTGGATGTGTTACAACTTCTTCAAAAATCTCGTAAATAGTCCGGCTTACAGGGTCAAGAATACAGTGTACATTTCTAATAAGAATTCCTATATTCATTTTGAAAAACTCACGTAAACTACTAAGGAACATAAAATGCGTTTAAATTTTCCTTTCCCACATTTTTTCGGGTGCCCGGATACCCGGGTAGCTCTTTACCCGAGTCAAATCATCAACCCTAGTATGTACATACTTTTTTCCTCAACGAATTTGTTGACGATATTGCTTTTGATTATTATTTGTTATTCTTTTATTTATTACTTTTTATTTATACCTTGCTGAATTTTAAAAGCTTTGTTCTCATTTTTTCCCTTTGTGTATTATTTTTAAGCTCTTTTCGGCATCTTAAGCAAGTTTCTCCATTTAAGTATATATATATATATATATATTTACATTATCACAAGGTTACATACATGCATATCGTCGTTTAAAGTACAAAACCGCGTATCGTCATTCTGCATAACCGCGTAACTGATATTTGCTGCAAAAAATTGGATTTGCTTACACAAGCTCTCCTTATCCATTCGCCCTGAAATATACTAGCCGGAAAAACGATTGCTTTATAAAAAAGAAATCCATTTTGAAATATGAGTGTTTTTACTCTCTAGAAAATAATTTATGCAGCCTCACATGCGCGGTTTTGCATTAGTTCTGTTCAGTATGCAAATGCCAGTAACAAAATTCAGCGAATAGGTATCTTACTCTCCCAAAGAGAGAACCTTACAAAGTTTTGCGGGAACAGGAATTAGCAAACATATGCGAGCTCCAGTGCCAGCTGACGTCCACGGTTGCATTTCGACCATAATGAATTTTTTATAATTAGTTCAAGTGGAAACCAAAACAGGACCTATACGAAATATACGTTTTTCTTCTTATTCTGACTTTCTTCAATATACTCTTCAATTTCTTTGTGGAAGTCACCAAGGTGTATTAAACGAGGTGTGATTGACAACTCAGGAAGGCTCTTTTTA